CACACACACACACACACACACACACACACTCACTTAAAAATGAAAGTTTTAGGCCGCAGCAGTTCTCACGATTGCCTTCTCTCGCATCTTGATAACGCGCACAGGGATGCCCGAGACCCAGTCATCAGGTCTGATCTCCCTTCCGGATGATTGGTCAACCACAGACTAGAGCCAGGTGCCATAATGTTGACACAAACCTTGCAGACTGTAACGAGAATGGCGTCGCAAACTGCGTTGTTTTTTTGTCGCGATTTGGCGATACCAACGCGTCTCAGACAAGGCCTTTTACGCGCAGACTGGCAAACTTGACTCATAGGCGGCGTCGCCCGTTTCAGCACTACGCATCCATCTGCTTTAGTAGGCCTCAGCTGTGAAACCCTGGACTGACCTGAATAGCCTCCATTTTGTTGGTCCTATAGCCATTGGTTTAACGCCAAAAAAATGAAATATTTTGCGATAAGGCTGGCAGTACCTGTTGGCGACAAAGCAAATCTGGCAACGAAGCCCGACATCCTTTCGCCATCGAGAACAAAGTCCAAGTTGCCTGAGGCGTCGCCTGGCCCAAACTCACAATTACAGGCTCCAGCAGCAATCGACACATGATAGTGACAGTGATTCAATCACTTTTCGCGGTCGCGGATAAACGGTTTCCTTATTGTGCTAGTTGACTGCGGATCCGTAGGCAGGAGACATTGTTACTGTCGTCCTACGGTCATTCAGTGTTGCCCACACAGGCAATGCGTAGTACTCCGGTTTTCAGAGGCCATGCCTGGCAGAAAATTTTCACGGACTTTTGTGATGCAGAATGACATTGAAGGTTGGCTCTGGTATCTTGACTTCTAACGAGCCCGAGACCCATGTTCCGACTTTAGACAGTATAAAGGATTCCCTTTGTACTAGGGAAGGTTGTGCGTCATTAGAATTTTGACACCAGTATTGAGAAACGTTCATCCATCCATAGCAGCATCTGATACCATGAAACCAGCCCGGCTGCGTAGTCCAGCTTGCATATTAGGTGAGCCACACCACCAGACGAGGATTTTGAGGTAGATTACATCTAGCGTAGGCTGTGTATGCATTGCAATATTGCAATTTATAACTCAACTGCGGTTACTAGGAGATCGTAGGCGTGCTCTGTTGTGAGTTGCGACACCAAGGCGTCTCAAGCAAGGCATTTTACGCGAAGACTAGCGAACATGACTCATAGGCGGCGGCCCCAGCTTCGGCACTGTGCTTCGATCTGCTTTAGTAAGCCTCAGCTGTGAATCCTGAAGTGGCCTAAATATAGTCCATTTTGTTGATCCTATAACCACTGGTTTAACGCCGAAAAATGAAATATTTTGCAACAAAGCCGGCCGTACCTGTTGGCGATAACAAAACTGGCAACGAAGCCCGACATCCATTTACCATTCTGTCATCGAGAACAAAGTCCAAGTTGCCTGAAGAGTTGCCTGGCCCAAACCTGAAATTACAGGCGCCCGCAACAATCGACACATAACAGTAACAGTGCTTCAACCACTTCTTGCGGTCGCGAATAAAAGGTTTACTTAGTGTGCTGCTAGACGGCGGACCAGCAGGCAGAAATTATAGAGACATTGTCGCTGCCGTCATGCGGTCATTCGGTGTTGCCCACACAGGTAATGCGTGGTTCTCCTGTTTCGAGAGGCCGATCGTCACACCCGGTCTGGCGGAAAGTTTGCACGGACTTTTGTGATACAGAATAACATGGAAGGTTAGGTCTGATATCGCGACTTCTCAAGAGCCCGAGACTTTAGACGGTCAGTAAGGGTCCCCTTGTACTAAGGAAGATTGTGCATCATTAGACTTTTGACACCAGTATCGAGGAAAGTTCGTCCATCTACTGCAGCATCCGATACCATGAAACCGTTCCCGGTTGAATAGTCCAGCTTGCATATTAGTGACCCGCACCACCAGGCC